CACTGAGCCTCATGTATGTTCCCTGGTTTTAGCCATGGAGAAAACTCTTGGCTGGAGCCAATTTTGGTTACATTTACACTTGCTCATATTTTCAAGACAAAAAGTTAATGGCGCATCTCCCAAATTTCCCGGCTGCAACAACGCTTTTATTGGTTCCACTATTGGGACGGAACCAATAATGGCGAGCCGTTATTTTTTTAAATAAAAATGTCAATTTTAATGTTTTAATTAGATTACAAAAATAAATCGTAATAAAAAGGATCCTATTTATGATGTTTTCAAAATTAAGACCTACCAAAGACTGATTTAAGACATTTTAATACAAATTAAGGCCTTAGTTTTATTTTGAAGAAGTCAATGCCTTTTAAGACTTTTTAAGGACCCACGGGAACCCTGATAGAGGAACAATATTCTAATTAAAAGCTCTTTTTTCTGAACATACATAGAGTTAGACAAGCACACCCTTTCCGAGGCTGTCGTTCTATTGGCTGGAAAGGTTGCTAGGTGACGATTCGATCCAATCTGAGAGAGAGCAAAAAAAATCCGCAAGCAGAGCCTCTGGGTTTGCGAGCATAACAGAGACTCGAGCAGAGCGCGGTTTGTGCATGAAGAGAAGGAGGCAAGTGAGAGGAAAAAATATCTGTGCAAGAAGCATTAAATCTGAGAGAAGAAACAAAGATTTGAGAGAGAAGAGAAAATATTTGAGAGAGAGCGCATGTTTTGAGTGTGAGCATTATAAGTTTTGAGTGCAAGAAGATGAAATTCTTCTCTCAAATTGAAATTATGTACTCTTGCATTATGGCAGGATAATTCTCCCATAGATATCAGATTAGAGCATCTCTAGGTGTTACAGTAAGTGAACAGCTGAATCTAAGAGGTCAAAAGTGATGCTAAGGTTACGAACTTCATTTCATTGAGATGATTCAAACACTGATGATAGTTTCTTCCATCTTATCTGTCCTTTTCCTTACTCCTCTTGAATCTACAAAGCATTTTGAGGTGTTCTTTCCATTTAAAACATGCTAAAACCACGCACCATTAGGATTTGTTTTGTTTGATCCGTCAGATAATGCGCTACCAGAATTGGCACACATATTAAAACTAATATTTATGATATCTGTAACACCATACTTCTTTAGTTTTCATTGAAAACATGTAGTTTGTTGTTCTAAATAAGCATACTTTGTCCCTTTATGTGTAAATAGTTCCTTAGTTTTTATTCATTTCTTTTTTTCTTGGCAGTCTTAGTTCAATGTCTCTGGCTTAGTTAAAAAGTTGCTAACTGAAACATGTTTAACTTTGTATTATTTCTGTTAATACATTTCTACATTTTTAAGAGTTGTTGAAATTTGATTCTATTTATGGGCAGAGTTTTTCTTTTTGAGAATCCTAGAGAAACGGTGGCTCAGTTCTGACAACAGAGTTACCAGGAATAGAATTGTTGTTAATATTCGGAGGAAATGTTCTTACCTTCTCTATTTCAGCAACTTTAGCCTTAATGGCCTCTGACCGACGTGCCTTTATGTCCTCCTCTTGAATTATCTTTGGCTCCGAGTTGGCAGCTGCTACGGCCTCTGTCTCTGCTGCAGATGCTGATGATTTTTCCTGGGAGGTCAAAGGTTGAGGGTCAGAGCAGAGGTCAACAGGTTTAGAAACTAACTGATTTCAAAGTGTCTCTAATAGAGACAACTCTGCTCGCTTACAGGTGCTGAATATTTGTTTGCAAATGTCGCGTATCATGCAGTCTGCATGCTAAAATAAACATACAGGGTAGGTAAAATATTAGGAATATCATCTAATAATAACATTCTGACATCCAAAAATCAGGAGGGAAAAAAACAGCAATTCAAATAATTTAAATTTAAATTTATATTAAGAGAAAAGTAGAGAAAATCTCTCCGATCATTTAAAAGTATATTTTTGTCTTTTTAAGGGTAGTTCTGTAAAATTCTCTGCATTTTTAGAACATAAATATTGAACAAAACAAATTGGAGTACTTAATCACATTATAATACCCTCCCAACTATAGAACAGACACAGTAAAGCAAAAGCTTTTCAAGACTAAAAACAAAAATTTCAATCCTGTTCTTAGACAAAACCATCCTTTGTAATATTTCCTGAGCAGCTCTTATCCTTCATTATTCTAAGCTTATTGATGGTGGGTCAAACCTTTTCTTCAGACCACTGCTTCATTCAAAAT